AGGGTTTAGGGTTTAGGGTTAGGGTTTAGGGTTTAGGGTTTAGGGTTTAGGGTTTAGGGTTTAGGGTTTAGGGTTTAGGGTTACCAGATTCCAGAGCCCAGGCACCCCTGGCTTCTTTTTGGGGGGTTTATGGGCTTTTAGGGGTTTGGATTTGGGCCTTTCGGGGTTTAGGGTTTAGGGGCGTTTAGGGGCTTAGGGTTTGGGCCTTTACGTTTGAGGGGTCTCGGGTTTAGGGTTTAGGGTTAGGCGTTTCGGGTTTCGGGGGCTTATGTGGGGATTTAGGCCTTAGGGTTCAAGGCATCCAGGGGGGTTTTAGGGGTTAAGGGTTTATCAAGGGCATTTTGTTTTGGCCTTCTTAACCTACCGAAGATAGACCCCCGAAACCTTCGTACCTGTTTCTTGTGGCCTCCTCCTCCGCATGGCTTTAAACTCGCGGCCCTGTTCCCCTCGCGTCTTCGCGCCTGACCTAAACATCCCCCTGAACTTAAAAGAACCCTAAGCCCCAAACCCTAAACCCTAAGCCCTTTAAACCCTTAGCAATAAACAAAAGGGACCGTATTCTAGAGACCGGCTCTGTGGTTACGTATTCCCCACATGTACTCCTACTTTACACCTCAACATGCGATGCGATGGTCCTTGTTGAGGGGAAGGAACACCAAGAAGGGAACGCCATTTTCGGAGAAGCAGCCCTGTAGTGTTGAAACAGTTTTGAAAAGGACCGCAGCCCGTCGTCAGAGAGGAGGCTGGGGAGTTGGCTTGCAGAAGGATGTGGCACGTCCCTGCCGAAGGAATAGGGTTTAGGGAATAGGGTTTAGGGTTTAGGGTCTAGGGTCTGGGGTTTATGGTTTCCCTGTGCTGTGCAGGTCACAAAAGACGTATGTGAGGGTCAGCGGGCATGAGCCGTACTAGGTGTTTAGTTGAAATCGAGACGTGTTTGCAGTGGGTATTTACAGGAGCGGCGGATGCGAAAAGAAGCCAATGTCATGGTTCAGTGCAGGTTCTACTTAGTTCTACAGGCTGTAGGTCTTGACATTGGCATCTGTTTCATCCGACATCCCCTCAAACTCCTTTTGCTGCTACAGCAGTTGCGAATGCAACACATTCTGCAGCAGCCTCGGCCTCTAAGAGGCATCTTTCTTGTTGAAGCCCAACCTAGAACTTTACGACTGGGCCTTTGCGCTCGGCTAGTATATACTTCCCTTCCTCTTTCATATGCTGTTTTGCTGCTATATTTCGCGACAGCAGTCTAAGGACCGCGAGGTGTCTCACCTTGACGTCGCCTCGCCGCCACCTCTAGATGCGGACGCAATTGCGTCTGTGAGCCCTGCGTGTGCGGATGGAAGTGAACGGCTGCCACCCGGAGCTGTCCACGTGAAGACAACCCACAAAACCCGCCCTAACCCCCTAAGCCCCCCCCCCCCATCTTATAAAAGGCTGTCGAATTTCCTGAGAACCAAGACCCCTCACACTCCGACCCCTTGGAGGTCTCCGCAGCCCCTGGGAAAACGTTTTGCAGAGAAGTTTCAGTTCTAGCACCGCGTACCATTAGATTGCAAGAAAAAAGATGAGCGAGGAGCAGGGTGAGCCTAAACCCAAAACCCCGAAACCCCAAGCCCACTGCAGCTGAACCCAAAGCGTTCAATTCGCACCCTTCAGTCAACCGTGTCACCTCCCGAAACGCCCTTAACCCTAAACCGTAGCCCTCCAAACCCTAGATGCAAAACATCCGTTAACTTCTGCTGCAAGCCGTGAATCCTCAAACCCTCGCTAGCGCTGCACTAAACCCCAAATCTTACGGCCTGCTTGGAAGCTCATTTGACCTTACTAAGTCCAGATGGCTTCCAAGCAAACCCTAAACCTTAAACCTTAAAACCCCATTGCGCGCGGAAACAGGGACTGCGCACCTACAAACCCGATAAACCCGCTAAGCCCGCTAAACCCGATAAACCCGATAAACCCGTGGCGCACCGATAAACCCGCTAAACCCGATAAACCCGATAAACCCGAAACCCCAAAAAACCTACACCCTACTTGGCTTTCTTCTGACTGGCTCTTAGAGCTTTAACCTTTTGGGTTTGTTTGTAGAAACTACAATGAAAATGAGGAGCCTAAAAGTTAAACATTTAAGCAGAGGTTCAGAAGTCAGCCAAGCTAAACTCTGCACCCTACACCCTACACCCTACACCCTCAACCCGAAACCCTAACCCTAAACCCGAAACCCTAAACCCTAAACCCTAAACCCTAAACCCTAAACCCGAAAAACTCGGCGGCGGGCAGCTGCCAGGCAGATGCCCGGGGCTTGGCCCTGGATCTTGCCGAGGCGGGGTTTCGGGGTTTAGGGTTTCGGGTTTAGGGGTTAGGGTTTAGGGTTTAGGGTTTAGGGTTTAGGGTTTAGGGTTTGGGGTCTAGGGGGGAGTTCAAGAATCTGGGAGTCTAGGAGGTTAGGGTTAAAGGTTTAGGGTTTAGACCTTGGGGTTTAGGAATCTGGGGGGTTCAGGTTCAGGGTCTAGTCTCGGGAGGAGTTTAGGAGTTCAGGTTTAAGGTTTCAAGGGTTTAGGACTTACTTTAGGGCTTGGGAATCTGGGTATTTAGGGAAGTCGCAAGCAAAACAGGGTTTAGGGAGGGTTTAGAGGTTTTGGTTTAGGTCCTTAAATCTTAAACCCTAAACCCTAAACCCTAAACCCTAAACCCTAAACACTAAACCCGAAACCCGAAACCCTAAACCCTAAACCCTAAACCCTAAACCCTAAACCCTAAACCCAAGACCCTAACCCAGGGGATGAACGGGCCTAGGGGCTCTGGGGGTGCTAAGATGCACAGCCACCCAAGGCCCCGAGGCCCTACTCAGTTTAGAGTTTAGGGTTTGGAGGTTTGAGGTTTGGGGTTTAGGGCTTGGGGTTTAGGGTTTGGGGTCCTAAACAAGCCGGAAGACCCTGAAGACACGAAGTCTCAAATTTTCCAATTTTCTAAAGCCTAAACTATACAAGATACCCGAAGGCCCAATAACTCTCGAGAACTTTGAAGCCCAACAACCCTGGAACCTCAAAACCCCTAAGCTCCGAAGCCTCAGCCCGAAACCCTATAACCTCCCTTAAACCCTAAACCCGAAACCTTAAAACCCTAAACCCTAAACCCTAAACCCTAAACCCTGAACCCGAAACCCTCCCCAAATGCAGGCCCAGCCTGCGGCCTTCGCCTACCGCGTTGTCAACGAGGCGCTCGGTAAGCCCAGAGCAGTTCTAACCCTAAACCCCAAACCCGAAATCCTAAACCCCAAACCCTAAACCCTAAACCCCAAACCCCAAACCCTAAACCCTAAACCCCAAACCCTCAACCCTACACCCTAAACCCTCTTCTCAGGCCTCCCTCCGGTTTGGGCTTTAGAGCTTAGGGTTTTTGGAGGCTTTCGGGGTTTGGACGTAGGGTTTATTGTTCTAGGCTTCATTGAGCTAGGGTTTCAAGGTTTACACAGGGTTCCGAGCCCAAAACCCGGCAGCAGGGATGAAAGATTTCAGATATCATACCTAAACCCTGTAAACCCCAGAAGCCCTGTAAACCCTCAAACCCTACACACACACACCATAAAGCTTCTAAACCCTGTAAACCCCTTAAAACCCTCCTTAGCAACCCCTATGAAGCCTCAAACGGCTTTAAAAACCCCTCCAAACCCCTATCAACCCTGAAGCCCTGATCCGAGAACAGCGCTTTAAGTCGGCTTAGGGCTTAGGGCTTAGGGCTAAGGGTTTAGGGCTTAGGGTTTAGTGTTTAGGGTTTAGGGCTTAGGGTCAGGGGTTGGAAGCTTCGGGGCTGCCATCGCCAGCTTGGGTGTCGGGCTCCGTAGGATGAATGAAATGGGGGTTTCCGAAATCTTGGGGCGCCCCTTCTAGACCCCAAAATGCCTTAGACTCCTTTTCAAGGAGCCCAGAAAAAGGTACCCCTATGTTCGGCAACCCCCAGATAGGGCAAGGTAGGGCAGTGCGGAGCACGGCAGGGGGGAAGTAGGGGGTTTTGGGGTTTTCGGGTGTAGGCCCAAACCCTAAACCCTAAACCCGAAACCCGAAACCCGAAACCCGAAACCCTAAACCCTAAACCCTAGGGTTCAGGGATTCTGACTTTGAGGTTTCGGGCCTGGATCCGATATCGTGTGCTGGTTCGTGTGCCTGTGCCAGGGCTGGGACGACGGACGTCCCGGCACCGCTGTGATGTCGCCGGGAGCTTGGGCAAGGTGAAGGGTTTAGGGTTTAGGGTTAAGGGTTAAGGGTTTAGGGTTTAGGGTTGCGTCCTGCAGCCTGAGACCCCAAGCTGGAATCCTTCTCAAGAGCTGCAACCCTCAACCCGCCATCCTAAACTGAGAATCCAAAAATCCCTGAACCCTGAACCCTAAACCCTAAACCCTAAACCCTTCTAACCTGAAGAAGGCAAAGGTTACTCGGGGCACCTCCGAGGTCCTTCTGCCTCGGCCTGCACCCAGAGCGCGAGGTGGAGCCAGCGCTGGACCCGCCGGAGGGGTCCAGTCCAGGATCACAGGCTCAGGGTTTGGGGTTTAGGGTGTAGGGTTTAGGGTTTAGGGTTTGGTGTTCAGGTTTGAGGTTTGAGGTTTGGGGTTTTGCGGTTTAGGGTTTGGGATCAAGGCCAGAGCCATTCCACAGCTGGCACTGTAGCTCCTTCGATCAGTTAGATTGCAAGATTGCAACTGGAGCACGAATCTGCTTGTGACGAAGCCAGCTGGTTGAACGGACTTTCTTTGTCAAGGCCTCTCAGCTGGCGGACAACGTGGGCCCAGCTTGAACTTGTACACGCTTCTGGGCATCAGGCGCACGGCTACACCTGAGGAGGTCGATGCCGCCTACCACCGGCGCGCGCGGAATGTGCGATCCAAGCAAGGCCTGCAGGAACTGGTCCGCGTCTACGAGGTGCTCTGCGACGCACAGAAAAGAAGGGAGTACAACACTGCCCTCGTGGAGCACGACAGCTCAACCGTCGCTGGTGCCGGTGTTCCGATGCCCGTTGCTCACCCCTTAGCAGATGATCCGCGAAACTTTGCCAGGGTCCTCTTAGAGCTCCGAGGGCCGGCATGCTGGTCGGCAGCTCTTCGGGGCCTCTCGGTCCAGCAGCTGAAGCAGCTCATCGCACCGCTGTCGGATCTTGGTGAAGGAAAGAAGACTCAGCACCTTCAGCGAAACGACGATGACCAGGTGGGCTTGTCGCTATGCAATCTCCACGCGATAGGCAAAAACTATAGAGTGGAAGTGCAGTGGAGCGGACTGAAGTTGCTTTCGGTTGCGACGTCTTGCGCTACCGCCGTGATCTTCTACCACAGCTGTCTGATGAGGTTGCGCAAGATGCTGTCGGACGTGATAGGGTCCACCCCGGATTGCAATCACGAAGAAGCTGTGCGAAGAGCTTTTGATGAGTGGATGCATCACGGCTTCACCTGCCCTGTCGTGTTCCAATACCACATTAATCGCCAGGCTAAGTTGGTGCTGCCATGTGTGCAAAGCCTGGAGCTTGCGCTGCAGATGCGCCGGCAGGCACTGCAGGCCACCCCTGCGCGCTTACGAGGCCTGAAGGCGCAGTGGCTGCGCCAGGCTGAGGAGGAGGCCTTGGCGCGGCACGAGCGAACGACAAGAAGAGCCCAGCAACTGATTGGCTTCGTGCTGTGCCGGGCGCAGAATCTGGAGCCGACTGTGCGCATGCGCAAGTCCGGGAAGCAGGCCCCGGACCTTGCGATACAGGTGCCGGTGTCAGAAAGTATCGCCAGGCGGTTGGGCGAAACCTGCGAAAGCATGCAGAGGCGCTTTGCCAGTGCGGAGGGCCAGGAGGCCTTGTATCGGTTCCTCCTGAATGATGTGGCGAAGGATCCGCGCGCACCCATGCAGGCGTGGGCAGCGCAGGCCAGGAGGGGCCAAACACGCTGGAAGTTCCAACGTGCAGCAACGGGGGGGGGGGGGGGGGGGGGGGGGGTGGGGTGAGTGGTTCAAGCGCTTTTTAAGCAGAGTGGGAGTTTCATTCAGCGGTTTTCGCCACATGTTTGGAACTTCGTTCGAGCACACAGTTGAGGGCTTCCCATGTAACCGGCTTGAATCTATTGAAGCACCAGTTTAAACACTAGCGCAGCTCGGGCACAGAGCTTTTGGTGGTCCGTTCAAGCAGAGAGTCAAGTATTTGCTTAAGAACCCCCCAAAAGCACAAATAATACCCTTCATTATCTCTTATCTCTTTGGGGTTCTGAAGCAAACAGTAGGAGTTGGGAGACTTGGAGGTGAGATGTTACGAGTGTTGGGGGTGAGATTTGAGGAGCGAGTGTGGAGTACTGCTTGTAGCCACCTGGACTTGCTTAAACTAGACAGCCCCCAAAGCACTTTAAGCAGAGCATCCATCATGATCATCACCATCAAGTTCATGATGATGAGTATCATGATCATCATCATCATCATCATCATCGTCGTCAGCAGCATCATCATCATCATCATCATCATCACGTTCCTCGTTGTGATACGACTTCGATAAAGTGCAAGCCCTTTCAAGCACACTGGCTGGCTCTTTTCTTTAAGCATTGATTTTTCTGGACATGGCAAGGTTTAGTCGTTCAAAAGACCGTTTTAGCGCAACCCCCCCTGCCGAACCCTGGCACAGGCTCGTGACGAGCTCGACACAAGCACCCTGCCAAGTGCCGCCAAGGTGCGTAGGGTCGCGCATCTGCCCTGCATGATCCCAAGCTCGCCAGTGCTGAGAGACAAGATGTTTTGCATCGGTGACCTCACGCAGAAGATGTTGGAAGAGCTGGCACCTTCACTGCGCCTCTCTGACTTGGCTATGTGTGGGCCGGTTTGCAAAGGCTTCCGCAACATGGTTCATAACAGGATGGACATGCTTTGTCTCACAGGCTCGGGGTGTAGGTTGCCAAAGTCACAAGGATACTACAAGTGATCGTATACGATATAGTCGTATTTCCGAGTCGAGTTGCAAGTCTTTTGCGCCCTCTCCCCTGAGGCTTCAAGCTGCATGCTGAGGACTTCGGCGTCTTCGGGTGGAGAAAGGTGATAGGCTTCCTGCTCTCCCCCTATGTCAACTTCGCCACAAAGCTGGACTTCAGTGCCCTGCCAGAAAGTCCTGGACTTGAGCTAAGCCAGCATCTTGCGTGCCTGCACATGCTGCAAGAGGTGATCATCTCACCTCGGCACAGTTCCGCTGTGCCTGCCCAGAGCATTTCTCGCTTGCGGGGAAGCAGCATAGCTCCCCGTGTTCGCTTGGCGATGTGCGGCGCACTTCGTGGATGATCCGGTGGCGAGGTGGTTCGTGCTGCGCTGAGCTTCCCAACGACCGTGGAGTTTCCAGCATGTCTGTGCTGCTGAGTGCTATCAGGCAGCCCTGCCAACAAGAGGTTAAAAGTGTGGTGGGACTGATACGCCATGACTTGCCGCTCCCAAAGCCATGCCGGACAGCACTGTTCAGGGACTGTGCGGTCAGGTATCATGGACTGTGGGCTCCAAACCACAGGCCCTAAACCCTATAATATAGGAGCCTTAACAAATCCGAATAGAGTTTTGGGGGGTTATTAGAGTAGTTATAAAGGGACCATGAGGGAAGAATACTAGTACTTCCGACCCCTAGAGTAAGCATCAGGCCTCGCACCCTACGTCCCCTTTCGGAGTGCGGTGGGGATGCGAGGAGCTTCCTTGGGAGTCTCTACAGCTGGTCGACCTCTGCCACGCTCCTGAGGCTCACAGCCACCGACCCGCATGAAAAGGGTTGTTCTGAATTAGGCCGGTTTGGGGGGGAGGCAGGGTTATGCCCTGAACCCTAAACCCTCCTCAACTTTCAACCCTCAAGCCTAAACCCTGAACCTCAAGCCCGAAACCCCAAGCCTTAAACCCGAGCCTGAACCCCTCCTTGTTCCAGGCAGAGGTGGACTTCGGCAACGCTTCTGGTGAGGCTGCTGCAGCCTTGGGCGAGCCCTTGTTCTAAAGCCTCCCTAAACCGTAAACCCTTGCATGAAATTTGAGAAGGGTGCATCTATTTGCTGATTGTATGGTACTAGGCTATATCATGTACAAGTATAGTATATACACACATAAGCACATCAACGTATATATATATGTATATATACATATACATACATACATATATATATATATGTATATATATATGTATATGTATATGTATATGTATATGTATATGTGTATGTAAATGTATATGTATATGCATATGCATATGCATATGTACATGTGTATGTATATGTGTATGTATATGTATATGTATATGTATATGTATATGTATATGTATATGTATATGTATATATGTGTATATATATGTATACATGTATACATGTATGCATATATACATATATACACATGCATACAGAATATCCATTTTAAAGGATCCTGGCTGCTGGAGTGTTGAGGTGCTCGCTGTGCTGTCGGTGGACGTCGAGCAGATGATGCAGTTGGGATGCCTGCCTGAGAGCCCGGCGAACACCTTGTTGAGAGCCACGCTGGAGCTTCTAGGGTTCAGGGTTCAGGGTCTAGGGTTTAGGGTTTTGGGGTTTCGGGTTTAAGGTTTAGGGTGAAGCCTTAAACCTCAAGGCCTAAACCCTAAGCCCCAAACCCTAATGAGTCAGGTCGGAAGAGCAGCCCATCCCTGAGAAGCTGGAGATGCTGTTGGATGGGCTTCTTGGCACAAGGTGTTCTTGCGGCTTAATCTGGTTCAAGGTTCAGGGTTTATGGTTTAGGGTTTGGGGCTAAGCCCTAAAAATCTCCATACGTGAGATCAGCCTCATCTAGAGGCAGCGCTGGTCTTAGGGCACGGGGTGTTGTAGTTCCTTGCCTGTTCAAGCTGAAAGCTCTTGCGCTTTGGTGTCACTTTGGGCGCCATCTTAGGCACCTCCAGGATGTGCAAGACACCCTTGCGCATTGCATGGATTTTGGACGAATGAAGATGGTGCCGCCGTGCACCCAAGCAGCTTCGATCGAGGACCGGAGGGCGCATTGTGTGTGGGGCTCCCGCTGCTTCTGCAGCCCGGACATCCCCCAAAGTCCCCCTCAACCCAAAAGAAACCTAAACCCTAAACCCTAAACCCGAAACCCGAAACCCGAAACCCGAAACCCTCAACCCTAAACCCGAAACCGTGGTGGCGATATCGGTGACGGGTGTCTGTCCTCACAAATCCCACCGCTCTGGCGAGGAAGCACATCCTCGACCTTTGTTGGAAGATCCGATCTTTGTCCAGGACTGGCAGACGCCCCAAGCCCGAAACCCTCAACCCTCAATCCGAAACCCGAAACCTGAAGCCCAAGACCCAAAATCTCTGAACTCAGACCCAAAGCCCCTCAACCACGAATTCTCAATCCCCGGGTACTCCGAACGTACCCCCCAAAACTACTACAATCAGAATCGGAATGCTTTGTCATCGGAACCCCCTAAAAGGGCACCCATGTTTTCGGAGCCCCGCCAAAAGGCGCTAGGCTTAATAATTCTAATAAGGATAGAAACCAATAGTTATTAATGTTCGGAATACTTATTATCAATAGATAGTAACCCTAACCCCTAAACCCTAAACCCTACACCCTAAACCCTATAAACAGCAAGTACCCTCAGCCCTGAGCTCGCCTCTCAAAAGGACTCTCCCAAGTTGGTGAAGCGAGCAGCGAAGACCCGGGTTGCGCCCCCTCCAAAGGAGCCGAGGCGTCCGCGCCTGCACTCAGGGTCTAGGGTTTAGGGTTTAGGGTTTAGGGTTTTAGGGTTTTAGGGTTTTAGGGTTTTAGGGTTTTAGGGTTTTAGGGTTTTAGGGTTTTAGGGTTTTAGGGTTTTAGGGTTTAGGGCTTTAGGGTTATAGGGTTATAGGGTTATAGGGTTGTAGGGTTATAGGGTTATAGGGTTTTAGGGTTATAGGGTTTTAGGGGTTTTAGGGTTTTAGGGTTACAGGGTTTACGGTCTGTGTTGTTTTCTCAGTCTCATCCTCTCTCTTTCTCATTCCGCAGTGTATGTGTGTGTATATATCTTTGTATATATATATATGCATCATCTACATCTTCGCATATGATAGCTATGCACCTCTCCCTCTCTCTTTCTTTCTCTCTTTGCCTTCTTTATCTGGCACTGCGTGCTGTGTGGCTCTTGCTTCCAGATTGCTGCTTCCTGTCACTGATACATGAGCTGGGCCTCAGGCGCCGGGAGAAGAACAAAGACAAAGGTGCGCCTTACAAGTGTTGCGGCGAGAGACCCTAAACCCTAAACACTAAACCCTAAACCCTAAACCCTAAACCCTAAACCCTAAACCCTAAACCCTAAACCCTAAACCCTAAACCCCAGACCCTAAACCCTAAACCCTAAACCCAAAACCCTAGACCCTAAACCCTAAACATCCCTAAACCTTAAACCCTAAACCCTAAACCCTAAACCCCAGACCCTAAACCCTAAACCCTAAACCCTAAACCCTAAACCCTAAACCCTAAACCCTAAACCCTAAACCCTAAACATCCCTAAACCCTAAACCCTAAACCCTAAACCCTAAACCCTAAACCCTAAACCTCGGCCCGAAGCCGGAACGCCAGGCGCGACGACGATGCCACATCCCGCGAGTGCTTCTGAAGCTCGCTTTGGCTGGGTGCCAAGCTTCGCGTTGGACGCCGCTCCAGGGTGCGCAGCCTGCTATTTTAGGGTATCTGAGTATTGTTTATGATTATTTTGTATGACTATTAGTGTACTATCGCTGTATTCGTAATAATAAAACTACTAATCACAATGAATATCATTCTTACTGTTGCTATGATGATGATTATCATTATCATACTTGCAGTATTCTTATGATTATGACTGTTACGTAATATCGTTATTATTATTATTATCATTATTATTATGATCATTATTATTTCGATTATTATTATTATTGCTATTACTACTAATATTATTATAGTATTTTCATTATGACTACTCTTCTTCTTATTATTAGTGCCATTGCCATTGTTATTTTTTATTCTCAGTATTGTTGTTGTTATTTTATTGCTGCTATACTATTCTTCCTGTCATTACCGTTACCATCAGCATTCTTGCTTGCGCCCAGATCAGCAGCTGCCGGCAGCTGCCGCCTCTGCCGTGGAGCGGAGCGCGGCCCCGGAAAAGACGAAGGCGAAGGAGCCGAAGCCCCAGAGTGCTATTTGGGGTTTGGGGTTTGGGGTTTGGGGTTTAGGGTTTAGGGTTTAGGGTTTCGGGTTTTGGGGTTTAGGGGTTTAGGGTTTTAGGGTATTAGGGTGCTGCTGGGCAAGAGGGCGCAAGAGGGGTGCACGTGCATGATGCTTCAGCTTACCCACGAAGAGAGTTGGCCACAAACATTTTTTTGCATCTTTGTAGCCGAGTCTTTGAGCTATGGGACCTAAACCCTAAGCAAGCCCTAAACCTGCAACGCGTCACTGCTCACGCTGCGGAGGGGAGGTGGATGACCTGTCCGCTGAGTCCACCATGCACCCCTGAACCCTGAACCGAGACCCTAACCTTCCCAAGCTCTGAATCCTCAAGCCGATGGGACTTCAACCAAACTCCATACCCTCAACGCTACCCCCCCCCCCCCCCAAAGCCCTTTCAAGGGGGAATCAGGTGCCCTAAGCCCTAAACTGTCAACCCTAAACAAAACCCTTTAAAGGGCCAGAGCTTCCTTGATCTCCTAAATCCTTATCCATGACAGCCTAAGCTCCTGGAACCCTAAGCCCTAAGTAAACCCTACGCCTTAAGCCCTAACCCCCCAAAGCCCCCAAACCCTAAGCTCCCGCCCAGGCGTCAGGCAGCTCCCCGCGATGCGGTGCAGCGGGTGCTTGAGGATGGGAATTCGGGTGTGGGAGGATGGGGCATAGGATGGGATCTAGAGCTTGGCGTTTTGGGCTTAGCGTGTGCACCGCATGCGCCAGATTTAGGGGCGCACTCCCTTATCGAGCGCTTGAAGTCTAGTCTTTCGCTTTGCCAGCCCGGCGCCAATCCGAGTCCACAGCGCACAATGGACAAGGTAGCAAAGAGGTTGGGCCCCAGGCTGGACCAATTGGGGTTTTTGAGTCCAGGAATCCGGGCGCGAGGGGTGAGCAAAATAAGGTCTACCAGAGGTGCTTGAAACCAAGTCAGGGACCCCCTGTGTTGCTCACAAAGGGGCGGGGGTGGGCTCCCCGGCAAACTCCGCAACACATAGCGGTTCGGAGTCTCAAAGACAGGTGCTCGCACACTAGTCACTAGAGTAGAAAGCGCGACAAATGGGGCCGTAAGGGTTGACTTGGGAGGCGGCATGTAGGCCAGCACCTAGCCCAATGTTTATTTAGCCTTGTCCGACACGCTCGAGCACCCGTGTCTTGAGCCAGTTTAGGGTTCAGGGTTTTGTTTGGGGTTTAGGGTTTAAGGTAAGCTTCTTAGGGGTAGGTCTGTGGGCTGCGGCTTGTTTTACTGGGAGGCCAATGTCAAGATGCAGGGGGCCGCTTCTGAAGTTTGTTTTGGGGATTGCGTTTTGAGGTCTCGTGGCTTCTTTGTTCTTCTCATCTCGGTAGCGAGCGCAACACCCTCAACCTAACCCTTCACCTGAAACCCTAGGCCTTAAACTTTGAACCCCAATCCTAACCGTTACGCCTTAAACCCGAGACTCCAAAACCTAAAAGCCCAAACCTTAAACTCCAGACCCCAAACTTGCTTTCAACAGGAAGCGGCGCGTTTGGGGAGAGAGGCCAGCCCAGTCCAGTCAGGGCAGAAGTAAATCGCTCGCAGTGGCCATTAAGCAAGCGGTGTGCTTCTCTGTCGCAGTTAGCATGAGCGTGTAGGGCAACCCTTAAACTTTGAATCACTACTGCTATAGGGTGTCAATCACCACTCCAGCCGCTTGTGAGGTTCGGGGTCACCTAGAGGTTCCTGGAGACGGTGCAGTAGGAACTCGCTGCCTACTCGTGGCTTTGATGGCATGGCTTGCGTGCTTGGCATGGGCGGTTGGAGTGCAGATGGTGGCTGCAAAGGGCGGCACAGGGGCACCAAGCTGTCCTCAATCCCAAGGTTCTCTTTTTCTGCAGAATCTGCGAGTTCTCAACAGCCGCCAGGAGCAAGGGCAGATAGGCTTTGCTCGCCTGCAGGCATTGGCCAATCGCAGTGGCGAGACATGTCCATCATGCACGTGCCCCACTAGCCTGCTGCAGCGGAAGCCGCTTTTTAGGAGGATGAATGCTTTGGAGAACTTGGTCGATGACGATGTTGTGCAAACCGTGGCTCCGCTCGCGTACGGGGCGAAGTTTATGAACTGCCTGTCCGCGGTGAGCAATGTGGCATCGATCGCCAGTGTCTTTGGACTCGGCTTTGGGGATGGCATGTCAAACGAAGAGCTCGAGCACAAGATTTCAGAAGAAATCCAGCGGGAACATGGAAAAACACGTGAATTGATCAACGAGAACCACCGGGAGGTCATGGCAGAAATTGAGAATCTTGGCTTTCTTCTGACTGGCACTTAGGACTTTAACCTTTTGGGTTTTTGTAGAGACTACAATAAGGTGCCTAAAGTTTAACTTTTAGGAGAGGTTCAGAAGTCAGCCAAGGAGTCAGGCAGAGGAAACCAGGGGTCTCATCACGCAGTTTGGAAAGGATGCTGCTAAGCATCATCAAGAGGCCATGCCTTCGCCAAAAACTTTGAATTCGCTCAGCACTACCGCCAATGCTTGGAGTACATGACAGACCTCAAGTCTAAGTATGCCTTGTTTGGCAAGCTACAGCAGAACATCGACGACGATTTGGGGTCCACATGCTCAGAGTGTCCATGTCAAAGGGTGTCGAACATTCTCGCCCGATCCTATAAAAGTGTCGAGTTCTTCGCAGCATGGGTGCGCAGGCAGCAGATGCGTACCATCGCTTCTATTCGTGTGCAATGCCCACTACCTTCACGAAGAGCCTACTGGAGAATTTTGTCCAAGCTCGCCCAGTGCATTTGTCCACCTTGTCCGAGAACCTTGGAAGTTCAGGTATGTACACCAATCGCGTCATTGCGATGCAGAGACGAGACGGCAGCCCTTGAAGGCTTTCCATTGGACGTTCTCTTGGAGATTTCGGAGGAGGAAGCTGTCAAATACGAGAATGTTTGGGACCACATCCGATCGGTACTTCCCGTCGAGGGCGATCCAGGGCTTGCGCCGAGCCTGCTCCAAGTTCCTTCGCACGCGAAAACAGCGGCGGTTCTACAAGTTTGGACACTTGACAGCCTGGCGAACCTTACTACAGGTCGTTGCACTCCAAAAGTTAGAGTGCCTGGCCGAAGTGCATCGGGTGACGCGCCGGCTCTGGTTCTAAAGCTTGACGGTGTTGGCGACCCCCCCTCTCCGCACAATCGTTTCCTATCCTTTCCAAGCCAGTGGACCCCACCCGCGTTTGGAAGCTTTGAACCACAGAAGACGAGTGGGCGTGCTGGCAGTTCTCGTTGCGCTGCTGGAGTGCACGCCGTGACGGGAAGGATCACCGATTTCAGCTGCGACTGCGAAAAGGGACGACTGCGGCTTTGTCAATCCACACAGACTCGACACTGCAAGCTTGCTTGTTGTGACTGCGTCGTCCGCCAAAGGTGGCCGAAGTCCAGCGCCAGTTCAAGCAGAGTCGCTGGCCAAGTTTCCTAGACCCTAAAACCCTTAATCGTCCAGAGAGACTGGGTCCGGTAAATGGGGGCTGTTCTCAATTAATGTTTCCCTCTTCTTGGTTACAAGTGCACGATGGGTGAGGTGTTCCATGGGGCCCGCATTCGGAGCTATCCCCGAATGCTGAAACCGAGGTCCCGAAACCCCTAACACCAAACTTTGCACTGTCTTATTCCGGGTTGGGATTTATTAGGGGTTTGCAGTGTGCAAACTTCAAAACTTAAGCCCAAACCCTAAACCCGCAATTTTCAACCGCTGAGCCCTGAGGCCAGTTGGCTTCGGATGCGCGCAGCAGCGAGGCACTCCTAGCAATCGGACTATAGGGCTCAGGGATTGACTAGGAAGGCCCGTGGGACAATTTAATTTTTCCCTTATTTGGTTTAAGAGGATCATATTCAGGAATATTTTTCAGTGGGTTGTAAGGGCCATCCTACTTGTTTTTTTAGAGTCTTGAGCTCCAAGACATGTTTGAAGTCTTGTTCCTGGAGGTTTCAGGGTTTGAGGATGTTGGGTTAGCACTTGGGGGCTTAGGGCTTGAGGGTTCAGGCTTTGAAGGTTATAAGGCTCAGGGCTCGTGACTTTCTCCTTGGGGGGCTGCGTGTCCTTTGCATGCCCGGACCTGACAGGCCAGCGCCCTGCTGGACGACATAGAGAAGGCGCGCTTAAGAACGGCGGGCTAATGTTCCCTGTGTCACCTGTGAGGAGCTCGAAGGAAGGGGGAAGATGGGAATAAGAAATAGGGGGGGTAGGAGGTATGGGTTGGGATGTTCCCCCATATACTAACAGTCCTTAATGGGTACTATAGTCCCTCCTATTATATTCCCTATTACGGGCTGTTAATATAATGTGGAGCCGTCTCGCTTCAACTGCTCCACACTGTTGGGGTGCGCGGATGGCGCGGGGGTCGTGTGCCCTCATGCCCCCAAGGAAGAAGAAAGGGTGAGAAAGAGAGAGAGAGAGAGAGCGATCCCTATTCTTCGCTGAATAGAAGAAGAAGAGATCCCTATTGCTTGCGGCCTAAACCCTTAACACTGGGACAGTTCTGGGGTTTAGGTTTAGGGTTGGGGCTCAGGGTGCAGGAGAGCCAGGCAAGGAGGATAGGGGAGGTAGAGCCTAACAACATCCCCAGCACCGGGGCTAGGAGAGAACCCCTGAAATCATCAGGCTGGAATAGAAGACCCCCAAAAGCATCAGGCCGGAACACTAAAACCCGCAAGGCCCGAGTCTAAACCCTAAACCCTGAACCTTAAACCCTAAACCCTGAACAGCCCGCAATCCCTAAACCTAAAGGCCCCGAGCCCTGTGAAGGCTGGTCGTGGGGGCAAGCGATACCGGCTCGACTGAGCACAAAGCTGCGTCTGAGGTGGCGCATGGACTCTGTTCACTCGTGGATAGATTATATATATATAAAAGCATATAAGTATATAAATATAAACATTTGTATATATATATATATATGTATGTATAAGTATATGTTACTATGTAGGGGGTTCTAGGGTTCCGGGGTTCTACGATTGGAGATCTTCGCTCCTAGGTTCGGGGGCGTAGAAATTTGGGAGTTTTGGCTGCGTCCTGGGCTCCTCCTCACTTGCGGCTTGGGGAACCGTGTGGGCAGAGACTGCGAAGAAGCCATCCTACGCCGCCTACGCCATGCTGGTGTCACCCTGGGCCCTGAACTCTCAGTATCTAAGTGAACAGTGCGCGCAAGTCGCTGTCCACACGCTGACTGAATGTCAGGCGTCGAATTTGTTTCTGATATTGGGTGTGAACCGCCTCGACTCCCTGGATTTGAAGGCATGTACGGCTTTGGGCTTCGGACATCTGCAGACTTTGGTCTGATGTGGGGAGGGAGGTTCCTGAGACTACGACTCATGTACGACATGGACGCGCATGCTTTTTCAACCTGACGTGTCGGCAGCTAGCTGGGCGAGGAACGCCTGCTTTCGATGCCTCTGCGAAAATCTTCAGCTTCTTGTTACCGTTGCTTGAGCCCTAAACCCCAAGCCGAAAGCCCTAAACCCTGAACCCGAAACCCTAAACCCTAAACCCTAAACCCTAAACCCTAAACCCTAAACCCTAAACCCTAAACCCTGAACCCTAAACCCTAAACCCTAAACCCTAAACCCTAAACCCAAAGTTCTTGAGCCCAAGCTCTTGATGCACCTCATCCCTCATCTCCGTCCTCCTAAGCCTCGTCATACTCGGCTCCCAGATGTCCGCCCTTGGAGGCCACGTGTCTCTAACCTCAGGCTTTTTTGCCACACTTCTTATCGGGATTTCAATGCCATAATAGGGAAGCTACTCAAAAACACAAAGCCCTAGGTGCAAGCAGATCAGCATCAAACCCCCAAACCCTGAACCCTAAACCCTAAACCCTAAACCGCCTTAACCCTAAACCCTAAACCCTAAACCCTAAGCCCTAAACCCTAAGCCCTAAACCCTAAACCCTAAACCCTAAAACGGCGTCAATGGAGAGTGGCTGCATGCGGGGCGTACTGAATCATGCAGCGCACCTTGACGCACGCTGCGAACGTCTCAGGGTTTAGGGGTTGTAGGGTTTGAGGGTTTTAGGGTTGTTGGGTTTCAGGGTTTTAGGGTTTTAGGCTGTTGGGGTTTCGGGGTTTACGTCTTTAGGCATTCAGGCTTTAGTGCAGGAGCCCAAAGTAGTACGATTTCCCACCGTATTCATTGCCGCAACACGTTTCGGATTTTCGGGTTTAGGGTTAGGTTTAGGGTTTAGGGTTTAGGGTTTAGGGTTTAGGGTTGAGGGTTGAGAGTTGAGGGTTGAGGGTTTAGGGTTTAGGGTTTAGGCTTAGGGTTTGGGGTTTAGGGTTTAGGGTGCAGGAGCCAGGGTTCCTGGCAAGTCCAGGTACTGCTTCCCGCAGGCCATCCTCATGTTTGCGGCCGGGTCCTCAGGCGACCCTAACGCCTCAACCCCTGAGCCCTCGAAACCCCACACAGCACCAGCCCTAAGCCCTAAACCCTAAGTCAACGCTTTTTGAATCTGCAGGGTGTAGATCACCATCATGGTTTCCGTGTGATAGAGGAGAACTACAGGGTGGGAGATCTGCTGTTTTTTGCAACATCCGGGCGTTACCCGAAACTATGGGTCCCCTACACACCCAGCTCGGGTTTCATGTTCCCCAACAATGGGGTTGAGGCCAAGTTTCTTGGTCTGGGTTTCAGGGTTTCGGGTTTAGGGTTCAGGGTTTAGGGCAACCCAGACCATCCCCGCCGAGCATCCCTAACCCTTCGACCCTCAGCCCTAAACCTTAGACCCCAAACCCAAAGTACTCTGCGTGTGTGTGTATACGCGTATGTGTCGCATGCCTGGGACCTGTTGATGCTTGTATGTATGCAAGGTAACCTTAAGTCCAACACGACTGCCTGACCACTAGACACCCTCAGAACACCACCTACGCCCCCCAGACAACGCATTGTGTCAGCTCCAAACACACAAACCCTAAACCCTAAACCCTAAACCCTAAACCCTAAACCCTAAACCCTAAACCCTAAACCCTAAACCCTAAACCCTAAACCCTAAACCCTAAACCCTAAACCCTAAACCCTAAACCCTAAACCCTAAACCCTAAACCCTAAACCCTAAACCCTAAACCCTAAACCCTAAACCCTAAACCCTACCCTCCCCCCCAAGCCGCAGATCACCATGCCAATTGCCCTCCTGGGGCCGCTGGAGGATGACCCCGACCTCGGCCTGGCCCGACGGGGGGAAGGGGGGGAGGGTTTAGGGTTTAGGGTTTAGGGTTTAGGGTTTAGGGTTTAGGGTTTAGGGTTTAGGGTTTAGGGTTTAGGGTTTAGGGTTTAGGGTTTAGGGTTTAGGGTTGAGGGTTGAGGGTTGAGGGTTGAGGGTTGAGGGTTGAGGGTTGAGGGTTGAGGGTTGAGGGTTTAGGGTTTAGGGTTTAGGGTTCTCTAGGGTTTAGGGGTTAGGGGTTTAGGGTTTAGGGGTTGATGATTATAGGGTTCTTAAGGGAGGAGGGTTCAAGGGGGAGTGTGTAACCCAAGGTTCCCTGATACTCCCTGATACTCCCTGCTACTCCCGAAGGCTCCCTAAGCTTCCCTAAGGTTCCCTAGTTACCCACCCCTATGAACTCCCCCCCCCCCGCTTAAGAACCCTATAAGTCTAGGAGGCTCCGAAACTACGGTGTTTTATGGGATCTTTAGTTGTTGCTTCTTGCTTCTATCTCCTACTGGTCGAGTCAGGCAAGAACTGCCTAACCCTTTCGCCAGGCTTCATTCCAAGAACAGTGGCTTGCACTTGGGGGATCGTATGTTGGGGTTCTCGACATCGACGATCATCTCGGTGTTTCCCTGGCCTTATAAATGCCAGCAACGAACGACGATCATCTCGGTGTTTCCCTGGCCTTATAAATGCCAGCAACGAAATCGCTTTTCACGGTTTAGGGTTGAAGGTTTAGGGCTTTCAGTTGTGGAAACTTTCCTTGTTGGACGCGTTCATAAGGCTGAATGCTGTAGCTTGCGTCGGCCAACCTTGTCTAAAACGCTGGAAGGCGATGGTGGTAATGCCGTCAAGTCCGGCAGTCCACCTTCCAATTTTCCCTCACGCCAGAAGAAACCACCCTAGCGATCCACCCGCAAAATGCTGGTCCGGGATGGTTTCTCCCTAGGCCATGGTTTCCATCCTTGACCACTCCGACCCTCGTTGGCAGAGGGTGGCCGTGGAGATGTTTTCGGCCTTTTTGACCCTGAAACCTAAACCCTAAGCTCTAACCCTAAACCCTAAGCCCTAAGCCCTAAACCCTAAACTCTAAACCCTAAACCCTAAACCCTAAACCCTAAACGCTCCGAAGCCCTCAGCACCCGGCAGGACAACTCGAGCATCAACTGGATCCTGGCGCTCGGAACGCTTGCGCGGGCCTTCGGCAAGTTCGTCAACGGGGTGTTGGTGGACACATTTGGCGCGGCTCTGCTTGAATCATAGGGTGTAGGGTGTAGTGTTTAGGGTGTAGGGTTTAGGGTTTAGGGTTTAGGGTTTGAAGGAATCAGGGGCTTCTCCCTTGGACCCTTAAGGTTGTACCCCTGGGGTTTGGGGACCCTTGTTTAAAGATCCTTAAGGTAACCTAAGGGCCTCATTGAGAGTCATTATGGGTATGACCTTGGGGGTACGAGTCTTCATCCCTTGATTGAACGGGCTCTGAGGTTTTGGGGCCCAAAGTTTTGACGGTTGATGGTTGGTAGAATGAGCATTGGGTTTTGGACCCCAAACCAAAAACCCTAAACCCTAAGCCCTAAGCCCAAAGCCCAAAGCCCAAAGCCCAAAGCCCAAAGCCCAAAGCCCAAAGCCCAAAGCCCAAAACCCTAAACCCTAAACCCAAAACCCAAAACCCCCTAAACCCTCAGCCCTAAGCCCTTAACCCTAGGCAGTCTGGAGCTCGCTGCAAGGAGGGAGGCCTTTGGCGCTGCCCTGCGTGCCAAAGAGCCTAGAACTGACCCTAAGCCTTGAAACTTTAAGCCCAAAACCCGGACATCCCAAAAGTCTAAACCCTAAACCCCCAAACCCTAAACCCGTAAACCCTAAACCCCAAACTCTAAACCCTAAACCCTAAACCAGAAACCCGAAACCCGAAACCCTAAACCCTAAACCCTAAACCCTAAACATAGGTTCGCCCCTTCCTCTACGTGGCCTTGCTGCTGGCTTCGGGCGCCTGCCTCGTCTTCGCTTCTTCCAGCGGGGCAGGTGGAACAGCACCTTTTGGGGTCTAGGTTATTGCGGGGTGTAGGGTTTAGGGTTTAGGGTTTAGGGTTTAGGGTTTATGGTTTAGGGGTCGGATTCATTACTAGTACCATTCCCTTACAAACCCTTTATACTACAGTAAACCCCCCCAAACCCTATTCTAATTATTCAGGGCCCTGTATTAGGGGTTATTGAGGGTTTAGGGTTTAGGGTTTCGGGTTCAGGGCTCAGGGTTGCTACCCTCCCTTTTGCCCTGTGTTGGCTTGTGCCAGAGGGTATGATCTATGAATGAATACTTCTTCGTTTCGACAATTGTGTGCAGGTACTCTTGGCGCGGCCGTCGCCACTCTCAACTACTGCTGCTCTGGGGCGTGGCTGACTGGGTGTAAAGTCATCGAGTCCTTGATGCATCACACGGGCGGTCTTTTGAATAGAGAGCCTTTTTGGGCACCCAAAGTAATCCTACGCATAGCGGCCCACAATTTGCACGGGATCCAATCAAGCATTCCAAAAAACGGAAAGTTGCATACACACAGGCGCATGTAGCTGTTCCATCGATTTGTCCAGGTCAAATTGTGCATTTCCATCTTGGAGGGAGGGCCCTCGAGCTCCAGGCCCGTAGGACGTGGATTCTTCGAGGGGCGTCCCAGCTGACTGTGTAAACCCGCACCCTTAAGCCCGAAACCCTGCAGAGTATGCGGCCATGGAACCCCCTAAGCCCTAAACCCTAGCCCTAAACCCTAAACCCTAAACCCGAAACCCGAAACCCTAAACCCTAAACCCTAAACCCTAAACCCAAAACCCTAAGGACCCACAGAGGATCCACCCCCAGTGCCATCCCAGGAGCGTCGCTTCCGTCGAGAAGACTCGGGACTTTGCTTCTCGGCGCCCGGGCTGCAAAGAGGGTGGAGGGGGGGGGAGGGGTAGGGTTTAGGGTTTAGGGTTTAGGGTTTAGGGTTTAGGGTTTAGGGTTTTGGGTTTTGGGATTAGGGGTTTAGGGTTTTTGGGGTTCAGGGTTTAGGGTTTTGGGGGTTTAGGGTTTTTGGGGTTTAGGGTTTAGGATCGACTATGTCAGGCCATCGGCAGAGCATGAACTACTTCCAGTCTAGTTTTCAGGGCCTGCTGCCCACAAACTCGGATAGGGCTCGGCTGACCAAAAGCCTTAAACCCCAAACCTGTGGTTTCCATGATGCTTTAACCCAAAGGAATGTAACAAAATATTGTTACGTAGGGCAGGGAGTATAAGAACTCTGAACCCTAGTCCCTGAACCTTAACCCTGAACCCTGACTTTGACTTGATGTTTACAAGGCGTGAGAGTCTCTGTACGCGGGGCCCTGCGAGACGATGTATTCCGAAGGAGACTCCGATTTTCATCCCCTTTCCGACGCAGCAAAAACCCAGAACCCACCCTACACCCTAGACTCTGCACCCCTATACCCTAAATCCCGAGCCCTAAATCCTAAGCCCTAAACCCTCAACCCTAAACTCTGAACCCTAAACCCTGAACGCTGAACTTTTACACCGAGGTGCTTGCCACGTGTTCTCGTCTGGGCTCCGTGCTCACACGCCTTGGCCTCGGCCTTGCCCCTTGGAGCATTCAGGTAGGCACCCTCATCTCTAAACCCTAAACCCTAAACCCTAACCCTAAACCCTAAACCCTAAACCCTAAACCCTAAACCCTAAACCCTAAACCCTAAACCCTAAACCCTAAACCCTAAACCCTAAACCCCAAGCCCCAAGCCCCAAGCCCCAAGCCCGAAACCCGAAACCCTGAACCCTGAACCCTGAACCCAAACCCTAAGCCACCCCCAAGTCCGAAGACCCAAGTCCCCAAGCCTGGACGCCCTAGGCCCCCCCCCTGCTCACCCCAAAACTCCCTAAACCCCAAGGGTTGAGGGTTTGGGGTTTAGGGTTTAGGGTTTGCGGTTTAGGGTTTGGGGTTTGGGGTTTAGGGTTTAGGGCGCCCCGAGGTGCTGCTTCTGCTGCCCTGGCGGCAGATCGCCTACGGCGCGGCGGCCGTGCTGGTCACTTCCTGGTTCTTGGTGGTGCAGGCCGCTGTGGCTTCAGGTTTGTTTGTAAAGGTTTAGGGTTTAGGGTTTAGGGTTTAGGGTTTCGGGTTTCGGGTTTAGGGTTTAGGGTTTGGGGTTGAGGGTTGGGGGTTGAGGGTTTAGGTTTGAGGGTTGAGGGTTGAGGGTTGAGGGTTGAGGGTTTTAGGGTTTGGGGTTGAGGGTTAAGGGTTGAGGGTTGAGGGTTTAGGGTTGAGGGTTGAGGGTTGAGGGTTGAGGGAAGGTTTTGGGGGCTTAGGGCCGCAAACCCCGTTTCAACGACTGAACCCCAAGGCATGAATCCGAAGCCTTGGGCTCCAGACCTCATGCCCTCGACCTCAACATCCTGCAGCTGAACGCCCGAAAGATTAGCACCCCTAGGCTCCGAACACTCAAAGACCACCCTGAACTCCAAGCCCTAGAGTTCTAAACTCTAAACCCTAAACCCTAAACCCTAAACCCTAGGACCCGAAACCCTAAACCCTAAACCCTAAACCCTCAACCCTAAACCCTAAACCCTAAACCCGAAAACCGCCCGAGGTGCTCCTGAAGGGCGATGCGGCCCTCGAGAAGGATGCAGATGGAAAGCCGAAGCTTCAGGCCGGGCCCTAACCCTAAACCCTAAACCCTAAACCCTAAACCCTAAACCCTAAACCCTAAACCCTAAACCCTCAACCCTCAACCCTAAACCCTAAACCCTTAAACGCAAGAAAGGGGGGCCCCCTGGACCCCGGAACCCCAAAAGTTTGGGCCAACCCTCAGGTGGAGCCAGGCACGCCGCGCCGATTGCTTTCCGCTAAAGTTCCTGGGCCCTCGAAGTTCTTCTTTCGGGATATGAGTCTAGGGGTGTTTATTGTTTAGGGTTTAGGGTTCAGGGGGTTTTTAGGAGGGTTTATATTAAGGCTGTTATTGGTGAGTGTTTGTGGGCTTCCTCATAAATATTGGTGAGGTGCGAAAAAAATAAGATCAAACCTAGTTCATATGAGTTTAGGGGTTTTAGGGATTGCTTTTCTGTTGGGTTTGGGGTTTAGGGTTCGTGGTTTAGCGTTTAGGCTTTAGGGTTTTGGGTTTGGGGGGTTTTGAGTCAGGGCTTCATCTAGCCTTGGGCTCTTTCACCTTCGGGGCATAGCCGGGCGAAGTTACTGGACCTAAGCCCGAAACCCTAACCCTAAACGCCCCAATCCGTAAACCCACGCCCTGAATTTTTATGCCCCGAAGCCCCTGAAACCCGAGAACCCTGCATTTCCATTGCCCGGCCAAGGTTTCAAAGGCCGGGCAAAGAACCGGAAAACAGGCGGAATCGACGGAGGCCGGCAGCTCTGTGGTCAACCCCCCAAAGCCCCCAAAGCCCCCAAACCACCTCCCAAACCCAAAACCCAGAACCCCCAAAACCCAAACCCCCAAAGCCCCTAAACCCCCAAGCCCCCAAACCCCCAAACCCATAACCCTAAACCCTAAACCCCAACCCCTAAACTCTAAACCCAAACCCCTCGACCCCTAACACCAGAGACCCCCAAACCCCAAACCCCTCAACCCTCAACCCTCAACCCCAAACCCCTCAACCCTAAGAGCCCCCTCAAACCCTCGGACCCCCCAAACCCTAAGTTGAGCAGGCGCCGACTCTCTGCCAGGTGCTCTCGAACCGAGGCATGGGTCCTGCTATTTTTGTTGTTTTTTTTGTCGGGTAGAGGGGGTTTAGGGTTTAGGGTTAAGTTTTTTGTTTTTTTTGGATTACGGTTTACGGGTTTAGGGTTTTGGGTGTTGGGGCTTTGGGGTTTGGTGGTTCCAGTTTGCTTGTTATTTGGGTAGTTTCAGCTGTTCTGAGTTTATAGCCTTTTGAAGGGTCTTGCATAGGTTCTGACGGCTTTAGGCTGAGTGGTTCCGAGTTTTAGGCGTCTGGGTGTTAGGGTCTGAGGGGTTTGAGGGGTTGAGGCGCTTGGGATGTTGAGTCAATTGGGGCTTGTTGAGTTTAAGGTTTTGGGGTTTAGGACTTTAGGGCTTTTAGGTTTTAGGGCCTTTGCACTTATGGGTTTTAGGCTAGGGCTGAGTGTATTGTGGTTGAATCAAGGGCACTTTAATGGGAACGTGAGAAATGGGGGCCTAAGCAAGTGGAACCATTCGGGCCGAAATGGGACGGTTTTGAAAACGCGATTTTGGGTTCGGAATTCTGTGCCCGCTCGGAGTTCGGTGCTTGAATCTAGAAGCCGTCGGGCCATGGAGTAGAGGCAAGCTTCCGGCAACGTGGACACGGTAGTGAGCGCGACATTTCCAAATCCGCCCAAAACAGTCCAAAAGACGCCCAAAACTTCCCAATTCGGCATCTGTCGCAAACGCCCCAGTGGGTTTCAGGGTTTTGTCGAGGGTTTTCGGGGTTCAGGTCTGGCTTGGAGGTTTAGGCTTTTCGGGTTCAGGGCTTAGGGTTTAGGGTTTAGGGTTTTAGGTATTGCCTGTTCCCAACGCCCGGTTCGGGGTTGTTGGGTTGTACATCAGCTGCAGCTCAGCCTGGGCCTCCCACTCCCACGGAATCTCGCAAAAAGCATATCGCAGAATATCGCGCAGTGCCTGCCCGTTTTGAATCCCCAGAGTGCATACGCCCCAAAAGTGCAGGGCCAGGAAATCCCACATCCCTGGAGTTTTTCAGAGAGTCCTGGAGAGCTCAAGTTGAATGTTAGGTGGCCCTAAGCCTCAAACCCTACACCAAACCCTGGTGAAGTGATACGTCTAGGATTTTACTCTTAAACCCTACTCCCTAAACCCCAGCGACGTGGTAATTCTAGGATTTTATTTTTGGGCCGGGCTTTGGGCTTTGGGGCTTGTTTAGAGTTCGTCAGGGAGGAGCAGGTCTTCAGGGTTTGCATCATGCGCAACAAGCAAGATACGTCACACCAGCCACAACAGAGCCATCATGGCCATAACCCTAAATCCTAACCCCTAACCCCTAACCCCTAAGGCCTAAACCCTAAACCCTAAACCCTAAACCCGAAACCCTAAACCCTAAACCCTAAACCCTAAACCCGAAACCCTAAACCCTAAACCCTCAACCCTAAACCCTAAACCCTAAACGAACCCTAAACCCTCAACCCTAAACCCTAAACCCTAAACCCCAAAAGCCCTAAACCCTAAACCCCCAAAAGCCCTAAACCTGGTGAGCTCAGGAGCTCCAGGCCTAGGTTCAGCACATCGGGCTTCTGGCAGCCTCAGGGTTCAGGGTTTAGGGTTTAGGGTTTAGGGTGTTTCCTTCCGGGCCGAGTTCACAAATTCGCAAAAAAAGGGGGGGGGGGGGAGGTTCGGGGGGCGTCGGATACTGGAAGGGTTTAGGGTTTAGGGCTTGGGGTCTGAAAGTCCTGAACTTCCACCCCCAATCTTAACCCTGAACCCCTAAACCCTACACCCTAAACTCTACACCCCAAAGCCCTCAACTTAAGCTTGCAGGTTTGCAGCTCCACTGCATCGTCATCGCGGGCGCGACGTGCCTTATGTCGCTCGAGAATATGTGCCCGCTGCTTTTAAAAGATTTTGCGCGCCTTGGCCGTCAGATTTAGGGTTAAGATGCAGGATTTCAAGGCCCCGGGCTTTGATGCTTACCTAAAGCCTGAACCCTAAACCCTAAGCCCGAAACCCCAAACCCTGAAGTTTCGGCTGGTCCAGGAGTCTCACCAATGCAGAGCTTAGCATTCGCACGGCCACTCGGCACCCATTGGCTTAGGGTTGAGGGTTTGGGGCTTGGGGTTGTTCCAAACCATTGTCCGTTTTGGTGTACCCAATGCACGAGGCTTCGTACTTTCATAGGAGTCGCAGGAGTTTGGAGAACCCACGTGTTCAGGCGGAAGTGTAGGTATCAAGTTCCTTGCGGCCTGCTCAGAAGAGCTGCAAGAAAGGGTTTAGGGCTTTAGGGTTTAGGGTTCAGGCTTTAGGTTTTAGGGTTCAGGCTTTAGGGTTTAGGGTTCAGGGTTCAGGGTTGGGTTTCAGCTATCCCGCCATGCAACTCCCCAAGGCGATTTTCCCTGCCGGCGTCCTCATCGGAGTATTGACGCTGCCGCATCTGCATGCACGAATTCCCAGCCAGACAGGACTCGCCGTTGGGGTGGACAGGATGCCATGTCCACTTCTTGCGGGGACACGTCAGCCTTTGCAGTTCAAAAAACAACATAAGGAAAGTATACAATACACAATAGCAATGGTATGCAGATTGATACTGGTAACAACAACATTTGTAAGAAGTCAGAACAACATGCGCGCGGGTGCGTGAATCAACAAGAAGAATGATAACAAGAACTGAGTGGCCCTCACCTACGCTCCGCCCCTCCGAGAAACCTCTCAGCCCTAGATCCTAAACCCTAAACCCCAAACCTTAAACCCTAAACCTTAAACCCTAAACCCTAAACCCTGAACCCTGAACCCCAAACCCCAAACCCCTAAACCCTAAACCCTGAACCCCAAACCCTAAACCCTAAACCCCAAACCCCTACCTAAACCCTAAACCTAAACCCCAAACCCCAAACCCCAAATTTAAGAGCCTCCGGCTCAAGCCGCCGACCCCGCTGGAGCATAGTTGAGACCCGCTCGCATGGAAGATCATCCCCGGCAGAGTTCTGTGAATCGTTTGGGGGGGGGTAGGGGGTAGCACCAGGGGGGGCGGGTGGGGGGGGGGCAGTGGGGGGGGTGGAGGCGGGAAACGCTGATTTTGCTGAGGGCGCCCCTACCCCCCCGTGCTGAACCCCTGTTTACGCTGTGCGGGTGGCGCGGTCCTCCACGAAAAAATTGTGCACCGACCCCCCCCCACCCCCCCCCCCTCCCCCCCCCCCCCCCCCGCGTTTTGGGGGGGGTAAGGAGGGAAAGAGGGAGGTTTCACCTCCTTTTCCCATCCAACACGCCGCCAGGGTCGGCGGACCCCAAACCCCAAACCCCAAACCCCAAACCCCAAACCCCAAACCCCAAACCCCAAACCCTAAACCCTAAACCCTAAACCCTAAACCCTATACCCTAAACCCTAAGCCCTAAACCCCGTTTGGGGGAGGAAAGCTGCTCCTGGAGCTCGGTCTCCAGTCGCTGGCACTGGCGGCCGGAGGCTTCCTCACCCTTTTGGTGAGCCTGCCAGCGCTGCTCGGCGCCACTTTGTGGGGTTTAGGGTTTAGGGTTTGGGGTTTGGGGTTTGGGGTTTGGGGTTTGGGGTTTGGGGTACGAGTTTCGGAGAGATTTCTGGGTCAGTTGTTTTGTGTTAGGCTTCTTGGGAGAGGGAGGCCTCTACTCTACAGGGTTTAGGGTTTAGGGTTTAGGGTTTAGGGTTTAGGGTTTAGGGTTTAGGGTTTAGGGTTTCCGGGGCACACGACTGAAGATGCCGAATATAGGATTACTAGTAGCAGTCCCTCCTGGTCGGGTTATAGCTATAGCTATACTACAGTAACCTCCCGAAACCCTATTCTGTTTTTTTCAGTACAGATACAACTGCTTAATTAGTACCATGAAACTCCAAGTATCTACGATTTGCTTAAGAACAACCCCCCCCCAAAAAAAAAAAAAAAAATGAGAAAAAACAACAATAATCCTATGGGTCGAAAGCAGCGCAGAGGCATGTGCCTCGCATTTCCCAAGGAAGACCGTCCGGGTGGAGTTTCTCCTGAGCTGTTTGGACTCACAGTTGCACGCAGAGGGTTTAGGGTTTAGGGTTTAGGGTTTAGGGGCGCAGGGTTTTAAGCTCCTTCTCTCAAATGCCTTGTGGAAAGCATTCGCGTGCAGCTGCACATCTGCCCTTTGCCCCATCTAAGGTCTGCATGGCCTTAGGTATCTCTTTCAACTACTACATCAAGCCTGCCGGCAGCTCAGGGGGAGCATTCTGTTCAAGAGGCTAAACCCCAAACCCTAAACCCCAAACCCCAAACCCTAAACCCTAAACCCTAAACCCTAAACCCTAAACCCGAAACCCGAAACCCTAAACCCGAAACCCTCTCATCTGATGCGCGGAGGGCATGCACACCCTGGAGTTCGGAGAGAGCTGCGCGGCGGGCACGCTTGCTGTGGGGCCGCGACGTGTGGGCGGAATCTGAACCCTAAACCCTAAACCCTACACCCTAAACCCTAAACCCCTAACCCCAAATCCCAAACCCCAAACCCCTAACCCTAAACCCTAAACCCTAAACCCGAAATCCTAAACCCTAAACCCTAAACCCTAAGCCCTACGCCCTCAACCCTAAAGGTTCTTGAAGGTTCATGGGTAGTTATATGTGGGGTTATAAGTAAGCCTCTTAGAACACCTCTAACCCCCCTGGGCTACCCTTTTCATTCTTGGGGTTCAAGGTTCCTTTGTAAGGTAACTAACCCAGATAGAAGTATGGTTCCAAGCAAGGTAGCCTATGTTATAGCCTTCAGTTTTTTTTGTACGTCTAACCCTAGTTCAAGTAATCCCTCAGCCCCCCAAGCCCTACATTCCTAGTCCCCCGACCCGAGAGTCTTCTTGCTTCGGGCTTATAAGCCTAAGCCCTAAACCCTAAACCTTGTAAACCCGAAGCCCTAAACCCCATAAACCCTAAACCCTCAACCTTATAAAGCCTAAACCCTAAATTTTACACCCTAAAACCTAAACCCTAAACACTCTCAACCTCATAAACCCTCAACCCTCAACCTTACGAACCCTGAGCCGCCAGGCGCCACGGCTTCTTCAATGTTGGACACCGTGGGTTACTTTGCCACCGTGGCCTTCCAGTTCTCAACATCAGCTACCGGGCCTGAGTTGACGAGGGTTTAGGGTTTAGGGTTTAGGTTTAGGGTTTAGGGTTTAGGGTTAGGGTTTAGGGTTTAGGGTTTTAGGGTTGAGGGATTAGGGTTTAGGGTTTTGGGCACGGTTATCATGATAGCTTCAGAATAATCATCACAGTAGCGACACGAGTCGCGTTAGATGAATCATAATACTAGAAATGCAAGTGCGCGTAATGGTAAATCACGTGATGAATGTAGTGGCTTACGGTTGAGGGGTTTTGGCTTTAGGGTTTGGGGTTTCACTGTTTGGGGTTTAAGGTTTAGGTTTTGGGGTTTTAGGGGTTCAGGCTTTCAGGGTTCGGGGTCTTTAAAGGTGGTTGTGTTTTTGTGTTTTGGGTTTGAAGGTCCAAGGTGTTGGGTTTTGGGGTTCATCGTCTTCGGGTTTAGGATGGTTTAGGGATGGTGGGATGTTTGGGATGTAGGGGTTCAGCGTTTGGCAGGGGTCGAGGGTGGGGGGGGGAGGCAATGGGGGTACCGATACGGGACAGGGAACCATGTATTTGCACGAGTATGTGACACACGGGAATCTCCCATCCTGGACCCTAAAACTCGAAACCTTGAATCGTCGCTCCTCTGCCAGGTTCTGTTTCGGAATGGAGGATGGTTCAAAGAGCTTGGAGGGTCCAGGCCTGAGAGGCTGAGGGTTTAGGGTTTAGGGTATAGGGTTTAGGGTCATGAAAAAGAACCTAGACCCCTAAAACCCTTAAGCCCCTCTCAGCCTTTTCCCTTTTGCATTCTTTCAGAAGTAAACAGCCCAAGACTCCTTAAGCCCCTCAAGCCCTTCTAAAGCCCAAACCCAAACCCCAAATCCTAAACCAAAAACCCTAAACTCTAAACCCTAAACCCTACACCCCCAAACTCTAAACCCTAAACCCTAAACCCCAAACCCTGAACCCTAAACCCTAAACCCCAAACATCAAACCCTAAACCTTAAACCTCATAGCCGCGAGAGCTGGCTGAGGCCGTGGGTCCACATAGCCGTGGCGCTCGTGTTCTGGGTGGTGGCTGGGGGCCCCGGCTTCAAGGGATTTAGGGTTTAGGGTTTGGGGTTTAGGGTTTAGGGTTCAGGGTATAGGGTTTAGGGTTTAGGGCTTAGGGTGGGGTTTATAGGGGTTATTTGGGATTTATAGAGGGTTTACAGATGTTTCGAAGACTGAAGATTTGGGTCGGGCAGGGTTTGCCCTACACACAACCCCACATCTCCGAAACGGTTTTGGTTTTCAAGTTTATCTCGGCACCCGACCCGAAACTCTGAACCAAACGTGTTGTCGCCTCCTGAGGCAGTGTTTGGGGTTGCCGGATGAGCCCTGAATTGAAAGTCCCAAATCTCAACCCCAAAGCCTAGACCCTAAACCCTAAATCCAGGGCTGAACGCCGCCCAGGTCATGAACGTGGGCACGGCCCCCCGCCTTGGAGATTGTGGGGTAATTTCAAAGTGCAGGGTTGGCCTTCTTCATGGGAAGAATATGACCCTTGAAGGCACCACGTGGGGTTTGCGAGAAGAGGGGATCCCCAGAATCGACCCCGACATAGTAGGACTCCCGGATAACAAGGACCCCAATAAGATACCCATAATTTTGGCAGGGTTTAGGGTTTAGGGTTTAGGGTTTAGGGTTTAGGGTGTAGATTCTCCAAAAGAGAGGCACGAACCGCAAATAAAGCCCAGCCTTTGAGCCCTCTCGAGCTTCGGGCGGGGGTCAGGGCTTCGGGGTTAGTAGTGATGGGAACTTGGGGTGAGGGTCTTTGGGGGTCTAGAGTTTTGGGTTTAGGGTTTAGGGTTTAGGGTTAGGGTTTAGGGTTTAGGGTTTAGGGTTTAGGGTTTAGGCTCACTACTACTTCTTCACAATGGTACGAGCACTATGATCATCATCACCCTCTGTGTCCCATCATGAACATCACGGCCACCTATTACCAACAGCACCCTTGATATCATGGAACTGAAACCCCAAAACCCTTCACCCTAAACCCTAAACCCTAAACCCTAAAGTGATGCAACGGTGAAAATAATGATCGCGGAGCCGCCGCTCTTAGATAAGAATTGGAGACCATGCCCCCCCCCCCCCCCCCCCCCAAAAAAAACACCCCGAAGAAGAATATGGGGGTTTCCGAAATTCGCGGTACCTTGTTGGGGCCCTTATTATAAGGGGATCCTAGTATTTGGGGAATCCTAAACCCTAAACCGACCCTTAACCCTAAACCAGGGGTCCCCTATTTCCCAAAATCCTGGTGGCGACTCGCAGCCCGAAACCCTAAACCCTAAACCCTAAACCCTAAACCCAAAACCCTAAACCCTAAACCCTAAACCGCAGGTGGCCCTCTTCGTGGAGCGCTCCCCGGGCTCCCTGCCGAAGTGGCGCGACCTGCGGGACCAGTTCTGCGGCCGTTCGTTGACCGTCGGTTCCCTCTCTGAAGGGGAGGGTTTAGGGTTTAGGGTTTAGGGTTTAGGGTTTAGGGTTTAGGGTTTAGGGTTTAGGGTTTAGGGTTTAGGGTTTAGGGTTTAGGGTTTAGGGTTTAGGGTTTAGGGTTAGGGGCCCAAACCCCACACAAACAGAAGGATTCTGCTATAAGGGGGGATTCTGGAAGACCATGTTTGTAGAATCCTCATATGTTTCTGTGGTTTGTCGGTTTCCTCCGCTTGAGTTGGCCCGAGGGTTTCTGCGGGTTTGGACTTCAGGGTTGTTTAGGGTTTAGGGTTTAAACCTAATCCCTATAAACCCTATGAAACCTTTGCATCGTATAAACCCTATGAACCCTATAAACCATGTAAATCCTGCAAACCCTATACCCTAAACAGGTGTTAGTTCGTAGTCAGGGATGGGCTAAACTCGAAGCTGGGTTTAAGCATCTGAAGAGGTTTTTCGGCTTGAGTTGTGCCGATGTCGTAAGATTTATGGGATTTTTGGGGTTTATGGGATTTATGGGGGTTTACGGAGTTTATGGGGTTTGTAGGGTTTATAGGATTAAAAACGGAAAGGTTTGATGCTTTGAGGCTTCAAGGCTCAAAGCCCGAGCCTTCAAACTGGGGTTTCGAGGTTTGAGGCTTCTCGGGGGTTACGGGCCTAGGGCAAGTGAAGGGCTTAGGAAGTACAAGCCCTGAAGCCTTCTGGGTTTAGGGTTAGGGGTTAGGGGTTTGGGGTTTAGGGTTTTAAGGGCTCAGGAATTCAGCTGAGAAAGCCGCATCGCGTCACTGAGGGCTGCTTTTGCTGGGCGGCAGCTCGTTTGCTCTCCTGGCACTTCCCGCGCGCGTGGTGGAGGAGGACCCAAACCCTTGAGGTTTAGGGTTTAGGGTATAGGGTTTGGGGTTTAGGGTTTAGGGTTTAGGGGACCCGCAACCCCCAAACCCTTTGACCCGCAACCCGTCAACCCTAAACCCATCCAAACCCTGAGCCCTGCCCTAAAAACCCATCGCAGCCCTGAACCCTAAATCCTGACCCCCTAACCCCAAGGAGAGTAGGGAGTCTGGGATGCTGCAATATGGGTGGGCTGGTTGGGTGGGATTGAGGGTTTTGGGCATTCTGGCGACCGAGTCCCCAAAACCTGCAGGAGATTCCGATGTCGCTCAGCAACCGTTGATAGCTTTCTCTGGGACACAAGCTCCCCAAGCCGGACCTACTGAACTCAGTGGACCGTTGTGTTAATGTGCTTCAGCCAGATCGAGTTCACCCTAAAAGTGTGGAGACTTTGGCATGCTGTGCACGTAAGGCAGCTGAGGTGTATTGAAGTCGATGGGCGCGAGAGCTGCGCTGCCTCTCTGGACTCCTAGTGGACTCATCTCCGCGCGCACGCAAGAAATGGTGCTTTGGACGTGGGGAAGACCGCAACTTGCAACCCTCGAAAGTAATTGTAGCCATCACACCACTCTGGTTTCCGTATCGTCAGGTGAGAGCCCGAGGATCAAGGCACCTGTTGGCATGCAGCAGCTTCCCGTAAGCTCTGAGTCCTGGGTGTTGATGTGCTAGAGTTTGTATGGGTAACGGTTTGACTGTGCAGGTTCAGTCTGTGTGGGTGGGTGTGTGAGTATGGCATGGAACCCCCAGCCACCGATGCTTATGGTGTCCTCGCGAAGTCCCTGGCGGTCTACGAGCTGCAGGCCACACGACCGATGCGCGGGCCACACGGTATGGGGGAGGGGGCGGGAGGCAGCCTCTGCTGCCGCTGTGGTCTACGGGTGCGTGATCTCACGTACAAGGCGTGGTTGGCAGCTTGCCCGCCATGCAAACCCTGGCACGGAGAACTGTGTAACGGATGCTCTGTTGCAGATGCCTGCCGAGTTGGCTGCTTTCAGGAAAGCACTGGCCCGAAGCTGCGGCGCCCTAAGCGATGTTGAGGCCGCCGTTGACGGTCTGAGCGAGTGGCGTCTGTCTCTGCTCGATGGACAAGTGCCTGCCGGTAGCAGCGCGTGGCCTCCGGAGCCACTTCGCAAAAAGCTTCTGACTGGTATCCAAGACATCGAACTGCCCGCCCTTTTGTCTGAGCAGCCGGAACTAGTTGACACAGTACTCTTGAACATCTTGCAGGCTGTAGAGGACTATCAGCAAGCAGTGGCATCGTCGGGAGGTGACGGAGATGAGCAGTCAGGCAGCAGTCCTTCCATGTGGTCCTTGTTTCCCGGCACCAGCGCCTCAGGGTCTGCGGACCCCGACGCCGAGTTGTCGGAAGCGGCGTCCGCAGCCTCCCAGGCCGACGGGGATGCCGATTCCGGCCAGGCGCGGGGGCCACACAACAGCACTGTTTGCTTGCTTCTGCTTGCTTCTGGTTAGATAACCTGCAACCTGTGCCCAGAGGACTTGACAGAAGCTGGCGAGGCGGCTGCCAGCCAGGACAGCCAGGACGGTCAGGACGCCCAGGACGGCCAGGATGGTGAGCTTGCTGGTGCCTCGGAGCTGGATGCAGAGGCAGAAGACACCGAAGAGGGGAGCGGGGCAGAGACGCTTGCAGAGCAGGTGACCCGTCGTTTCGTGGAGGCCTGGAGGGACCTGGCTGCGGAGGCTGCAAAGCCGCGCTTGCAGTCTTGGGCAGCGCCGGACCCAGACTCCGAGCCAGACTCTTCACCGCCTTCGCCCGAGTCCTTTGCGGCCTCAACGGGGACGGAGGCTGGACGGTGGTCGGAGCCCGCAGGCTGGCAGCACCTGCTGGTGCTTCGGGAGCTGCTGGGCCGCCTGCCTGAACTGAAAGAGCTGGTGCGGAGGATGGGCCGAAGAAGCGGCCTCAAGGATTCGCAGCTGCGCTTCGACCGAGCCCAGCGGGCGAAAGCCAGGGAGGCTCCCGGTGTTGTGCGCTCCAACACTGCCCCGTGCGAGACCTCGGGCATCACCCGCTCCGATGGCAGCTTGCTCCTGCTTCCCAGCGAGCTCTCCCTCCTGGCCTACGCCAACGCGCGGCCGCCACGTGCCAGCTCGGCGGGCGCCCGCGCGCTGCACCGCCTGCGGCGGGCCGAAGCTGCCCTGCTCAGCTACGAGCGCAGCGCTTGGGTCGAAGAGCAGGCGGAGACGCTGCGCTGGCGGGAGTTTCGTCCGGCGCATGAGCGGGGCCCTCTCATCTGCTGTGTGGACACCTCTCGGAGTATGGCGGGGAGGAGGGAGGCCATTGCCAAGGCAGCGGTGCTCGAAGTACTGCTTCTGGCTGAAGCTGAGAGGCGTCCCTGCTACCTCTATTTCTTTTCGGGTCCAGGCGACCTTGAAGAGCTGGAAATTCCACCAGCGCCCATTCCGGCACAGGCTTGGCAGGATGTCCTTGCGTTCCTAAGCCGATCCTTCGGTGGGGGAACAGATCTGGAGACACCGCTGGCCGCCAGCGCGCGCCAGCTGCAGGATGAGTGGCGGAGCGCCGACATCTTGCTGGTCACGGATGGCGAGGTGGAGGCGCCCTCGCCCGCCTTGCTGGAGGAGCTGCGGCTCCTGCGCGAAGGCGGCGTGCGTGTGTTCGGCCTCACTGTCGCTGAGCCCGGCCAAGAGGAGTCCTCTGGGATGGCAAGCTTGGCGGACATCTGCGACGAGGATCGGTTTAGGGTTTAGGGTTAAGGGTTTAGGGTTAGAAATTAGAGTTATCCAGATGAGATGAAGTTTAATCGTGCAGCCATGCTGCCAGCTAAGCCAACCCCTGAGACTCTCAGCACCATGTTCTCCGAAATCTCTACCCTAAACCCTGAACCCTGTACCCTGAACCCTGAACCCTAAACCCTAAACCCTAAACCCTAAACCCTAAACCCTAAACCCTAAACCCTACATGTCGTGCCATGAAGGTGCATCGTTTCGAGGCGCTTGGCCGAGTTCCCCTGCGATGGCGACCCTCACCCGGCTGCTCGGACACATCTAAGCTTCCCTATACAGCGGTTTAGGGGTTAGGGTTTAGGGTTTGATCTCAACTCCAGGAGACTGAGCTGGCGAGCGAGAACCTCGTGGACATCCGTGGGACCTTGTAACTTTCAGGTCCACAGGGATCGCGTGAAGATGCCCCGCACTACAAGCTGCCGATGCCAGGATGTTGGCCACAGGGACCTCGGGGATTTGCTGGACATGTCTTCGTGCTCCGGGCTCTGTTCTTCTTTGAATCCTGCGGCGCATATGTGCCTCCTGGCCGCAAGCTGTAGCGTGCTTGTTGCAACACCCTGCAAACCACGCAAACGATCTTCAGGAACCCGAAACCGTACCACCCCATGCCCCCACCTCCCCCAAACAGTCTGCCTCTAGCCAAGACGGTATACCACAGCTCTAGTGTAAGCGTTCAACCCTAAACCCTAAACCCTAAACCCTAACCCTGAACTTCTGAACCCTGAACCCTAAACCCTAAACTCCAAGTCCGGCCCAGGAACCCCGCTGAGAGCACCAACGCACGCTGCTGTCGGGAGAAAGGGCGAGAAAGAAAGGCAGTGGGGTTTAGGGTTCAGGGTTTGCTGAGGGTCTGGAAGGGAAATCTCAGCAAATTCCTAGGGCAAGGTTTAATTAATAAGGACAAGGCTAGGTGGTTTTGGGACGTTTATAGGTTTAAATTCATAGGTTCCGAGCCGGTTGCGGGTTGATCGTGGAGCCTGGACGTCTGGCAGAACAAGATCCGAGCGTGCCCGGGAGTTGCCGTGCCAGCCGCCGTTCCACACGCTGTGTGCAACTGTCACGCCTGCCCGAAGCCTAAAACCTCAAAACCTTCATCCCCAAACCCGAAGCCCCTAAACCCTAAACCCTAAACCCTAAACCCCAAACCCAAAACCCCTAAATCCTGAAAGGCTTGATGATGCCAAGCTCCATAAAATCTCGACGCCCTTGTTTCGTTCCTAGGCCCCCAACCCCAGACCCCAAGATCTATCAACACAGCCTAGGGGCGACTTTGTTTGTGGATTTTTTGGTTCAGCAATAGGCTCCCCTTAGGCTTAGAGGCGATGTGGGCACTTCTCTAAAGCACGGTCCTTTTTGGGGTGTCCTTGTCATATATAAGGCGGCCCTATTTAGGGCATCATTTAGAACTCCCTAAACCCTAAACCCTAAACCCTATCCCCTAAACCCTGAACCCTAACCCCTTTAGGGCATCATTTAGAACTCCCTAAACCCTAAACCCTAAACCCTAACCCCTAAACCCTAAACCCTAACCCCTCAACCCTCTACCCTAACCCCTAAACCCTAAACCCTAACCCGTAAACCCTAAACCCTCAACCCTGACCATGTGGGCACAATGCGGCTCGAGAGCAGAGGGCCATATGATGCCATGCCAACAGCCCCTCGAGCCCCCAGCGTCCCCGCGGAGATCATGAGCCCGTTTAGGGTTCAGGGTTTAGGGTTTAGGGTTAGGTTTCAGGGTCTAGCGTTTAGGGTTTTGGGTAGGCAAGAAGAGAACTGCTGCTATGCCTCGCGCTGACAAGGTGCAGTGTCATGACTACTGAAGCTTTGCCGCTACTGAGCATTGAACCTCACCCACAGCAGCATGGCCCAATGGCGTTCGCGCCTTGCACGTAGCGGTCCTCTTTGAAGCGGACGTGCGGCATGGCATGCCAGGCCGGACAAGTGTGTTGGTGCAGATTGAATGAAAGAGAGCAGTTTCATTCCACAAGGGTGTTAACCGCTACGCCCAAAAACCGTAAGCCCTTTGGTCCCAACTGCGCGCCCTTCCTGGTGCCACCCCAAAACTCTAAGAAACATGCCTCAGTCGAGACCCCGGCTCAGGGTTCAGATCAATCGCTTGAAAAAGCCGGTAAACCCGTAAAGCGGTCAACCCTAAGCCCTAGGCCCTAGGCCCTAAACCCTTAACCCTAAACCCAACATCCTAAACCCTAAACCCTAAACCGTAAGCCCCAAAGCCCGAAACCCCAACCCCCACTCAGACCCAGGGCTGCGGACGCGAATCGGAAACGCGCCTGTGCTGCCCAACTTGCATCGAGCCTGGGCCCTACGAAGACCGATGCTTTGTTTTTTTTGTTTTTGTGGGGGGGGGGGGGGGTTGGGGTTTCTGTTTTTTTTTTTTTTTTTGGGGGGGGGGGGGGGGGGTACTTGGTTTTTTTGCTGGGGTGGTTGGGGTTTAGGCTTTTTGGGTTTTTTGGGGGTTTAGGGGCTTTCGGGGTTTAGGATTTTTAGGGCTTGGGGATTTTAGGGTTTTGGGTGTTCTTGGGTTCAGGGTTTTTGTGTTTGTTGGGTTAGGTTTTTTAGGTGTTCGCGGGTTTTTGGAGGTTTCGGCTGTTTTTGGGGTTTTGGGTTTTTGGCGCTTAGGGTATTTGGGGGTTTCAGGTATGTTTTTGGGTTTAGGGCTTTTTGGGGTCTAGGGTCTAGGCGCCTTGGGAGCGCTCCAGGTTGCGTAGCCTACCCTGTCCGATCGGCAGGCGGAGAATGCACCCCTGTAAGGTAGTATGTATTGTAGTGGGGTTTAGGGTTTAGGGTTGCTCAAGGAGGGAAGGGATAAAGAGTGTTGAGACTCAGGGTTTGGGGTACCAGGATTGAAAGAAGTTAGGTCAGACACTCTCACAACCTTATGTGACCGCATGTGGGGCTTACTGAGAATTGAGCGCACCCTTGTTGGGTTCCTACAATAGGGGTCATCCTATTCTGGGGTACACTGTCACTGCAGAGGGGTGGGGATTTTAGGAAATGCCCATAAATTGACCCTTTGTTCACCGTTGCAAGCTGCGCTTCTGCTGAGGCTGGGACAGACTTCCTTCTTTTGCAACCAGGCAGGTTCGTGAACCCTAAGCCTGAAACTCCAAACCCGAGCCTAATCCCTGAATCCTAAGCCCCGTGTCTGTGAGTTTGGCATTGGCCAAGGCGTGTTTGTACAGAGATGGGCAGTTGAACTCAAACGAGCTTGTAGTGGAGATGTGGAGATCTCTACCATCCAAGCGACTCGTGAGTCACAACCCCTAAAGCCATAATAGCACGGCCCCTTCTACTCTGGTCCCCAACACCCAAACCCCTACCCTGATCCTGAAAGCAGAAGCCCGAAACCCTCCAAATCCTGAGCCCTGAGCCCTGAACCCAGACGCAACCCCAATGGAGCATGCGATTTGTGTGCTTTCATTGTCGAAAGGGGATTCATTACACTACCGATCCCAGAAATTTGTGTTTCTCATGTTCCGTGGCAACAGATTTGCTCGATGCGACCCTTCAAACCTGGCTTGACACAGTTCATTTTGATGAGTCAACAGGTACAAAGTATACTTGACCGACTCTAGTTTATCGTGATTAGCCCACTCGTCCTTATTCTTTCTCACACACCGCCTAAACCCTAAACCCTAAACCCTAAACCCTAAACCCTAAACCCTAAACCCTAAACCCTAAACCCTAAACCCTAAACCCTAAACCCTAAACCCTGAACCCTGGCCCCCAGGAGTGCTTCGCCAAGAACTGGGCCGCCCATAGCCAGTTTCACGAAGGGGTCAGGACATTGGGTCACGTGGGAGCGGGTTTCCGGGGCTCTCCGGGTTGAGGGAGTTTTTTGGGGTTTAGGGTTTAGGGTTTAGGGTTTAGGGTTTAGGGTTTAGGGTTTAGGGTTTAGGGTTTGGGGCTTAGGGTTTTGATTGCTTGAAGAGGTTTCAGGGACGAGACAGGGTTTACTAAACCCTGAAGCTCTGAACCCAACACCCCAAAGCCTAAACCCTCAAATTAAACCGAAACCTTTTAAACAAACCGAAACCCTAAACCCACCACTTCGGTTCGAGGCGGATCACGTTCTTTTCCCGATGAGTCCGCAGAGCGGAGCGTGGTTCAGGGTTTAGGGTTTCAGGTGTGGGGTTTAGGATTTGGGCTATGGGGTTTATGGCACACAGCGGTTTTATTGTTTAGGGTCTATGGTTCAGGGTGCGTAGTATCGAGTTCATAGTTTTGGGTTTGCACAGCTGCGGTTTGTTTGGGGGGGACCTTCGCCTGTTGTCGTCGCCGAGGCTCAACAGCGCGATTGCTGGAGCGGCGTAGCCTTGGGCTGATATGAAGGGGTTTATCTTACTGTTTTTGGTGAGTGTATATAAGGTTCCTTTTTACTATATATATATATATATATACATATATATATATACCCTACTTCATATCTATCTGCGATTTGCGGTCGGGTTTGATATCATCACCAGCGAGCTTGCAGCATTTTCGCTCGCACTGGGCTCACACATATTCCGTCCCCCTGAAGCCTGAAACACGGCGGTTTCAGACGAGGAGCCTCGTAAACAGCATCCCTGTCAAGCAGATGCTCGGGCCTCAGCAGTCCGCGACGCCCATGTGGGGCGCCACCGTGGTGCCGATGCAGGGCTCCAGCGTGGCGCCGATGCAGGGCCCTACTATGGTGCCACTGCAGGGCCCCACCATGGTGCCAATGCAGGGCCCCACCATGGTGCCAATGCAGGGCCCCACCGTGATGCCAGGCAGGCCCCGAAGCCCGAAACCTTAAATTAGAATTACAGGAAAAGATGAACCGAGGCATTGTGTTCAAGACCCGCCAAAAATTGAGGTGTGGGTGGGTGGGTGGGTTGTGAAGGAACGCAACCCAACGCGGGGAATTTGGGGTCCAACTCCCACGCAGTTCGACTCGCTGTGCCCTAAGCATCCTTCGTGTATGGAAGAACCCCGGATGGAATTCTTAAGCCCCAGCGCAGCCCTAAACCCCTAAACCTTGAGCTTTGAGAGTTTGAACCTTTAAAACCCGAACTTCTCAGACCTTCACCCTTAGTCTGCCTGTGGCGCTTTCCCTTTTCGGTTGAGGGTTGAGGGTTTGAGCTTGGTAAGTCCTCACGCTGAGGGCTCTTGCGGGGTGCAGGATAGTGTTGCTGTGGTCTGACGAGTCTGAGTAAGGGTCACAGGCCAACAGGCCCACCAACAAACCATGTATGTTTGTACCATATGTAGATCATGAAATGGATGTTTCTGTCTCGAATGGCCAAATCCTCGAGAGGCGGCATGCAGCTTCAGCAGATGCCCTACGCAGCATCCAGTTGCTTGGACTGCTCTAGGCCCTGCCGAGCAGGTAATTGGGTTTAGGGTTTAGGGTTTAGGGTTTAGGGTTTAGGGTTTAGGGTTTAGTAGCCCTAAACCCTAAACCCTAAACCCTAAACCCTAAACCCTAAACCCTAAACCCTACACCCTCAACCCTACACCCTAAACCCTAAACCCTAAGCCCTAAACCCTAAACCACAAAGCTCTCCGGGGCTGCAAGCAGCGGCGCTTCTGCGCGAACAGGGTTGGCCCTAGCTTCTCAGCATGTCATATGAGGTCACCCGCCCCGTTGTTCATTAGGGGTTAGGGTTTAGGCTTAAGGGTGTAGGGCTTACGGGTACTCATGATGTCAAAAATTATTATTCACATTGTTGTTTTTTATGATTGATGTTGTGCCTGATGTTATGATTATGACAATGTTTTTTCTTGTATATTTTTATATAATTTTCTGATAGTCGCATTGACGTTTATGACGCAGAAGTTGGTTCCCATAAGTTGGAGCTGGGCCCTGACGTCTGAAACTCTAAACCCTCTGAAACCTCTAAACCCTCTCAACCTTCTCAACCCTCTAAACCCTCTAAAGCCTCTAAACCCTCAAAACCCTCTAAACCGTTCAGGGTTTGGTGTTCAGGGTTCCTAAAACGGACCACAATCTTCGAACAGATGCCCTGAGGCGTCCCTCGGCCGCTTGCGATGCCAGTGCAGCCGACTGGGATGTCTCCTGGCACCTTGGCATGAGCTCTTCGAGCCATTGCAGAGGGTTTAGGGTTTAGGGTTTAGGGTTTAGGGTTCAGGGTTTCGGGTTTCGGGTTTCGGGTTTCGGATTTCGGATTTCGGGTTTAGGGTTTAGGGTTTCGGGTTCAGGGTTTAGGGTTTAGGGCTTAGGGTTCAGAGCTACGGGGTCACCAGCTTTTGACATCAGCTCGCATGTTGCAAAGCTTTGTGGGGCCTCTGAAACGTATGCAGCCTGCTCGGCCTGGGTTCGAGGTTCGAAGCTGGGCTTGCTTTTGTTTCAAGCAGCTTTTGGCCCGAACTTCTTAACCCTAAACCCTAAACCCTAAACCCTAAACCCTAAACCCTAAACCCTAAACCCTAAACCCTAAACCCTAAACCCTAAACCCTAAACCCTAAAAAACCTAAACCCTAAACCCTAAACCCTAAACCCTAAACCCTAAACCGCCCTAAACCCTAAACCCTAAACCCTAAACCCTAAACCCCCTAAACCACCCTAAACCACCTAAACCACCCTAAACCACCCTAAACCACCCTAAACCCCCCTAAACCCTACCCCCTAAACCCACCTAAAACCCTAAACCCTAAACCCTAAACCCTAAACCCTAAACCCTAAACCCTAAACCCTAAACCCTAAACCCTAAACCCTACCCTAACCCTAAACCCTAAACCCTAAACCCTAAACCCTAAACCCTAAACCCTAAACCCTAAACCCTAAACCCTAAACCCTAAACCCTAAACCCTAAACCACCCTAAGCCCTAAAGCCTAAACCCGAAAACGCCTGGGAAGAAAGATCTGGGATTGGCGCTTCGAGATTCTGGTCTGCGGCCAGACACTCTGGGGTAAAATGATCTCCCCCAGCGGGCCCTTTACTAGGGTCCTCGTAGAACTACACGATGCCAAAAAAGGGGCTCTTGGTTTTTGTTCTTTCTCCTGGGTTACTGGGTATCCAAGATAATGCATGAAGGTCCCACAATATGGGTACTTATATTTCTTGCTATATAACCCCTGTGGGGGGAATTGGCTCATGTTCCTTCGCAGGAAAACACAACCTCAAGCACCAGGTGAACCCTCTTCGTATGCGGCGTTTTTGCATGGGTGCAAACCCCATAAACCCTAAACCCTATAAACCCTAAACCCTATAAACCCTAAACGCTATGAACCCTATGAACCCTATACACCCTATAAACCCTATAAACCCTATAAACCCTATAAACCCTATGAACCCTATAAACCCTATAAACCCGATAAACCCTATAAACCCTATAAACCCTATAAACCCTATAAACCCTATAAACCCTATAAACCCTATAAACCCTATAAACCCTATAAACCCTAAACCCTGAACCCTAAACCCTGAACCCCCTAGTTCATGTCGGGCCTCCTCAGCCCAACACCGAATCCCAGAGCTGCCCAGACCCCTGGGAGGACCCAACAAATAGATCACCTTAAGGTTTAGGGTTTAGGGTTTAGGCTTTAGGGTTTCGGGTTTAGGGTTTAGGGCTACAGGGTACTCTTTGGGGGTTCTGACTTTGGATCCTCCCAGGGGTCTGGGTGGGTTTTTGCATGGCAGACCTGGCGGTGGCCCTGGACTTGGCGAAGAAGTCCCCGCACATCAAGGACCTTCACTGAAAGGCTTCTTTGGGGTTTAGGGTTTAGGGTTTAGGGTTTAGTGTTTCGGGTTGAGGGTTCAGGGTGTTCATGGCTGACGGCGTGTCGAGGGGCAATTTTTTTCTCTACTTGAATGCCCAATGCGCGACGTTCCAAATGCGATGTGTTTTGCAAGGACTCGGACTGGAAGGTGAGGCAAAGGCATGAGAGGGTTTAGGGTTTAGGGTTCAGGGTTTAGGGTGGGCCTGCATAGGTTACCTTGTGTTGTTGGCTTGTGCAGACCCAACTGGCCGTTCAACTGCTAGCAGAGCTCCTCAGCTAAATGCACCGCTCCTGTTTCCAGCACGCCCTGACCATTAACGCGCAGGCCGCGTTACAGTTTCGTAGCCTTACGCTGTTCATCTAGCAGACTTCAAAGCCCAAGCCCTAAAACCCCCCCTACCATAACACCAATACCTTTAAGCCCCAACCTTTCAAGCATGAAACTCGAAAGCCTTAAAACCCTAAAACGCCAGAGCCTTTGAAACCAGAAGTCGCAGGGGAGGGGGGCGGGGTTGGCGAAATCACTTGCGCAAAATTTTGCAATCAATGGGAAGCACACATGAGCATATTTTTCAACTCTGTGATTGATACTATGTATTATGAATTTGCAACACATGCATATATATATATATATATATAATGTAGTGATGCTATGATTGAGTCTTATATATTTCATGTAGTGTTGCTGTGATTGAACATCATGAACATATTATCCACCAAGTTTGACCTTTGCAAACAAAACACGAAACATGTGTGCATATTTTGTTAGCATATCCAAGACCTTGAGACAGTTGTCATGTCAGTGCCCCAAAAACATTCACCATAGGTGGTCTTAAGTTTACAACTCACACATTTGAATCAGAGCCCTAAACCCCCCTTAGACCCGAACCTCCGAAGCCCTAAACCCCAAACCCTAAACCCTAAACCCTAAACCTGAGAAACCCCTAAGCCCTTAGCCAAAGAAGCCCTTAAAGAGCCCCCCCCCTTTTCAAACCCCTAAACCCTAAGTCTAAACGGTAGAAACCCCTAAGCCCCTAGCCCCCGGAGCCCTTCAAGAGCCTCCTGACAGGACGGC